GTGTGATGTTGCAACAACACGACCAAACTGTCGTGAAACTTGCTGTCTTTACCTACAAAATTTCGTGAAAGTCCAAGCTGACATTTCACGGTCCCTCACGCGTGAAAAGTCGATAAAATTTCCCCATGGGAATACATACATTTTCATCATAAAAAAAAGGTGCCTTATTTAAATTTATATAAAATGTTAAGCAGATAAACGGGCCAACGTAAGAAGTTTTGTTAGCCTTTCTCGACGCCGGTCAGGTTAAAGGTTCTTGAGTTGGATCGAAAACATACGGATGACAGCATACCGATCAAGAGAAGACGACTATTGAGAAAGCTGACAATGAGCTCTATTATTGTTTAAGATCTCTTTCCCTCCATAGTTGTACCTCCTGCATTGTTGATATTTTCATAGTGTGCATTTTTCTTAGAGAAGAATTCTGGAATTTTAATCTGTTTTAGAGTATATTGAGTAGTACAGTGAGTACTCTCAATTTATTTATGCGTCTTTAGAATAAGTCTTTTAGGATAGAGAAGAAGACATATTTGCAAAATCGTTGTTAGATCTAGTACATTCAGACGGGTAGTTAACAGAGAAGCGTCAATGCTAATATTTGCATCCACTAACGAATAATAAATTGCGATTTTATACTATATTTTTCTGCATAAACGTTTTATTTCAATCGACACATATGCCCATTGAAATAATTTCTAATTAATTAAAACCAATTTCGACACTCGAATGAATTTAAAAAATCGTTTAAATCAATTAAAGAATTTTTTTCACTCGGAGTTAATTCAAACGAATTTAAAATTTGAAATGAACATGAAATCAAAATTACAAAATGAATTTATATTAATTAAAAAACGAAAAGAAAAAGAAATCTAATATTAAATTGGTGCAAACTAATTTTAATCTTTGAATTAGTTTAAATTAATTCAAAAGATTCACACTAATTTGAAACTTTAATTAAATATTAATTAAAGTCTTTCTAGATTAATTTAAATCAAGTTAGTTACAAAAATTGATTTGTACTAAAATGAAAGTAATGAATTCGAAACAAAATTTCTATGTTAAATTACACTAAATTCATTTTCTTTCAAATATATCGTAACAAAGGATTACAATTATTACTCAAAATCATAAAATGTGTCCATGTAATAGTAACCCCTGAAGATAAAAGAATTAAAGTGTTTAGTAAAGGAACCCTAAATGAATTAATTCTAGAAATAAACCTTAAGTGGTCAAATTCCACCTAACTCCATATCAACAGAAAACACAAAATCAAAATAACATCAAATAGAAAGAAACATGACTTCAAATAAAATCATGCCTATTCTAAAAAACTTACCGTCAGAACTTCAAAACTTATCATTTACCATCACCAGAAGTACCAAGAATTATTGTAATTTAATAAAAGTTGAACAATGTTCATCACATTATCAAAGAATATATGATAGTAGTATGGATTGTAAAATATATAAAGAATGGTCAGCATCTAATGAAACATGTTGTGTTGGTAATGAATCGTATAATGAAGGACATTGGATGGTTAAATGTCTTGTTTGCCATGAGTTATCTCATCCTTCCTGTATTGATCAAACTCAAAAAGAAAAAGAAATTGAAAATGTTGTATAAATGTCCATATAGCCAACATGATGATGATACAGAAATGACTGCAATAGTTGAGCGTTTTTTATGTATGAATATGCTTTAGATCGTTGCACAATGTACATTATAAGTATATTTTGACATTTATTTATAAGTATATAATACAAATGTTCAATGTTCTCTTGCTGATTTAAGATTGGCAAAGTGTAAGCGAGCAAAAAACAGATATTCAAAGAAACCCGTGAAGGAGCGGGGTGAGGGAAATAGTCTGCGCACTTCTACTTTTTGACACTGTCGGACTTTTCGCTTGAAATTCGACAGTGTCGAAAGTTTTTACTCCAAATTCGACAGGCTTTCTACAGTGTCGCATTTGGAGAGAAAAACTTGGATACTGTCGAATTTCGAACGAAAATTTTCAACAGGCTAGGAATTCGATAGATTTTTCGCTCCAAATTCGACGGGATAATAAAAAGTGAAAAATAATTCTGTTTAAACAATTTATTCAGTTTTAAAAACTCTGTCGAAATTTGTATGTATTCGATTTTCGATAGTGTCGAAATTCGACAGACTTTCGACAGGTGTCGAATTTCGAGTGAAACATTTTCAACAGACTCAAAATTTGACACTGTCAAAACACGCTGTCGAACTACGCAATTACCGTTAAATCAAATACGTTTTGAAAGTAGACACTTAGCGCTATACACTAAATCGATTCGTTTAGAGAACATCGACCTTTTAGAGGAACCTTAAACAGATATGAAAAAAAAGGTTTCCGGTTCCCCACCCATGTATGATGTATGACCGTCCGAACCAATATGATAGGGATCATCATTTTTTTCGATTTTTTCTATTATCCGATGGACTGTGTGAAACTACGTCGATGGTAAAAATGTCATTTTGTTACTTAGGATTATTGTAGGGTTTTCCTAAAAATTGAATATCTCAGCAGCGCAACAACTTTAAGGCCTCCCGTTTTCATCAAAATTCATGAAAATGGAGAACAAATAACTAAACTATCTGGATGATACAGAAAACATTTGACTATGTAGTGATGAAAGGAAAAATCTTACATTTCCAATCATAAATGAAATCGTGTTCTGATGGATTCATATCTTAATTATATATATCATGAATGGTTTCGTCGATAACAACTAACTCTTTCGACACTCGATTAAGTGTTAACCAAAATAACATAGTTTGAAATCGAGAAAAATAACAACATTACAAATTATCTAAGAGATACGTCAGGTATCTCTGGTAAAGCACAGCTTTCTATTCAGTACTGGTTTTCTGATAGTTTTACCTAGAAAACACGTTTTATACGAAAAAGAAGCAGTCAGTTGGTTTTTTCTACATAGTTTGTTGTGTATCATAACTTGAGAACTGGATCCCGTCATATAGGCAACTAATGGATAGCCCTCGAAAACTATAATAATCATTTATTGAAAGAAAACTACCATAAGGAAATGGAAAGTCCAAATGCATGTTTGATTTTTAGACAAATGTCAAACAAAACTATTTCTTATTTGTCTGGGCGATAATAAATGAATAAATATTAATGTGTTTTATGTGATGAAACATGTTCGGATAAAATTATATTTGACAGAATTGGCGAAGAGTATAACAACAGCTATTGGCTACCTTCGATAGGACTGATATTGCAATAGAAGCCGGTTTCTCTCTTTCACAGATAACAGCCAGATCCATGCCAACTGTGTGCAGAGGTGCACACTCTCCAGTGAGTTTTTCTCCCTGGCACTTTCCCGTGTATTTTGAGAGAAACGGTCTTTTGATCCTCTTAACTTATTTTTAAAAAACGTCTCCCAATATGGCATCTTTCTTGGGAAAACGCATATTTTATTTCCTGTGGATTGTTATCCTATAACAACAATAAAACGGCATCTGAGTACTAAATTAAGCTTATATCGTTCCTTCAGGTTCGGGTCAAAAAGGACCCCACATATGCTTTTGTGAGGCTGATTTCACCTGTGAAGGTAAAAGTTAATATCAGTATTACAAAATGGCAACAACAAATCACGGAATGAGGCTTTTAACCTCAAAGAACCGTTTTTTTCAGAGGATTTCATTTTTGTCGTTTACTGCAAAGCTAAGTTGATGTGCAGGACCATAAATAGGAAGTCAACTTTGGAGGCGGTGTAAAAAGTTTTTTAAAGCTTCATTTTTAAAATAAGTTTTTGGGGCTGTAAGGAAAAACTTTTTCGCTGTGCGACCAAAAGTAACGAAAAAAAATTTTAATATCCACTGGGAGGAAAGGACAGACTTTTATTTTTGGGAAGGTGTACACTTCCCTCAATTTACGGCTCTGTTCATGTGTTCGAATCTTACAAAATTGATTTTGTGTTTCTCGATAATGTTAGCTTAGAATACTATAATGGAATATAATCCGCTTGTATTCTGATAGAATAAAGCTGATATCAAAACATGGTATTGAACAAGTAGAATAAAATCCAATAAGATAAAGAATTCTTGAGTCCATTTTCTAATTATAATCAAATTGCATTACATCACACAACTCTTTTCGTTCAAATCCAATTTTTGTGTAAACACTGTTACTCAATGGATTATCACAATCGGCATAAAGAAACATAAATTTCCAGTTAGGTTCAATTTCGAAACAATGTTCACACATTTGTGACACACATTGTTTACTCAAACCAATTCCTCTCAAATTTGGAGGCGTATAGACCAATGCAATTCGTCCACCATTTAAGCTTCTACTGACAACACAAGACATAGATTGCGGTTCATTAGTTTTAGAATCACATAATACATAGAGCGATTTGAGTGTGATAAATCTGGATACGGTTTTTTCTATAAATTCAGATTTTGCTTCAGAAGTTTTCCAACTTGATAAATCTACTTTACTATCAACATAAAACTTCATTCCAAATCCCAATAATCTTTGTTTCCAAACTTCAAAATATTCTAAAGTTACCACTTGACATTTTCTATTTTCACTTGGAAATAATTTTAAATTATGTTTATTTAATTGATATAAAACTAAATGAAATTCATATTTACTTTGTTTAAATTTATTTTCTAGAACTTCTTTCCAACATTTTTCAAATAATAGACAATTATATGGTTCATCAAATAATCCTTTAAGCCATATCTTCTTTTCAAAAAGTGTTTTAACTAGAAATTGAAATATTTGTTTTCTTTGTTCAGTTGTTTGATGTTCTAATTGTTTCGACAGCGAACCGGGATATTTATCGTTAAATATTGATACTAGTTCAATTAGATTTGTTTCACTATTTCGAATAATACTTAGAAACGTATTATATTCAATGCATGTATCGCGTTCTAATCCCAGTATCTTAGAATTAAATGCTTCATTTTGAAGAAGAAATATATCAGTTTTTTGTTTAAAATTCTCCAAATTATTTGGTTCTATAATTTCCACTTCCATTTTTTAAGAACAGAATACAAAATAGAATATGAAGAGTGTAATAAAAAGTAAATATAATCATACGTTTGATAAAAATAGATAGAACACGTTATTTATATGCAAACTAAAAGTAATTGCACAATGCACTGATGGGAATGACAGGTGATGTAATGAAATACACAGGAATGTGAAAACGGAATGATGTAAAGGACGACATTGAGAAAAACAATTTATTACAGAGACAAAGAAGCGAAAATCTGATGACAGATATTGCAATATTATTCTACTACTCATCTAAGACAGTAACTTCACATAACATAGCATTCTAATAGACAAAGGTAAACTTCTAGCTCAGAATAATTGATTGATCTTAGCAACATCAAATATATATATATATCTTCTATAAACTATTGCCGTTCTCAATAAATCTGAATCAATTTAAGCCTCAAGGTTTTCTGAAAACCTTGAAAAATTGGATTTTGCAAAAATTTTATTTTTTGGATAATAAAACAAAGCTAAAAACATTTTCAATAATACCAGAAAACAGAACAGACATTTCTGATCAAAATGAGGTATCTACCAGCTCTGAATAATGTTCTGATCAAGAGTTATAAGACTTTTGCTGGAAGCCCTAAAATATGCATTCGACACGGACGCCGCCATATCTCGAAAGCGACTTTCACCTTAACACTATTTCGTAGATCCCAGATTTCTCAGTAATGAAACATTGCAGAGAGCTTGGGAAGATCCTAAACTGAAGCTGACACATGTGGCTAGAGGCTGACAGAGCCGGATTTTTGATATTTGGTCTAGATTTGCGAGTAGGAAAACATCTGTTCAGTTAATGAAACTTTTTCTAATTTTGGACTTTTGACGCTGACTAGTAATTTGAAAAACAAAAATCAAATATTCGGCTCTGTCAGCCTCTAACCACATGCGTTTTCGTCAATTTAAGATCAGCTCGAGCACTCCACAACGTTTCGTTACTGAAAAATCTGGGAGCTGCGAAGAGCCCCATTTTGGTCACTGTTGTGGCGACATCTCACAAACCATGCGTGATGGAGTCAAACAAAAAATTTCATCACCATACTTTCACAAGATGAACATCGCCTAACAGTACGGTGAAGATCCGACTTATAGTTTCAGAAATAGGTTTCTGACTGGGGCGAGGGGGGGCTTCAGATTAAACATTCATTGAAATTAATTTTCGGCACATAGGAAATGGCACCTACACCGCACACCTTATTTTATTTTCTTTGTTTAACTATATTTTTGTTGTGGGTGATGTGAGAATACAAAATCACAAAACCAGACCTTGGACATTTTTAGCTTTAGCAAAATATTATTACTTTTAGAGGAGGAGGTCACTTTTAAGAAACTTGGCTCTTCTATTATATTATTATCTATATTTCGTCTATATTTACATGAATCGACACCAAATTTTTACCACAGATTCGCTACAAAATAAAAGTAGAATCATCTTAGCAGATTTTACTTTATCAATCAGTAGTGGCTATCATAAAAAGCTTTGTGTTAGGAACCTATTTATTATTTCAAACATTGTTCCACCTACAGTGTGGTCTTATGACTTATACCCCGAACCGAATATTTATCCGGATTAGCATATAGAATTTATCCTGAACAGGATACATATCTCAATCGGGATATCGTTGTATCCCGATCGAGTTATATTTACTAAACAAGTTCAAAAAAGTATTGAAAGTAAATATAATCATCCACTGATCGTCTTAAGTGACACTTAAAAGTCTCTTTCAGTATTTATGCAGTACCCCATCAAATACCCGATCAAAATTCTCGAATATTTATGCAGTATCCCAAACGATGCATATAGCTGATCCGTATGGAATCTACATCAGTTTTGAATCTTCTTTCGAATGGCATTGCCCGTTTTTTATTTGGTTGTTAAGTGGAGATCAGAAAAACGATTGTTTGCTTATATAGACCGCTCGGGCTATACAAATCATCCCGATCGGGATTTGGAGCCCAATCGGGATATAACGTATAAGCTGATTCAGAGATGTCTAAAAGCTAAAGGATAGTGTATTGTGCGAAAGGCTAAAGTGAAGCTTTTTGTCGTTCTGAGATATTGTGGTCTATTTTATTTTCGAGAATATCTAGACATTTTTTTTTCTGGATATTGTAGATTTTTCGTGAGAATGAGAGAGAAATTTATATCTTCAAGAGAATAGTAGTTTTTATGAATATAAAGAACAAAACTGTGCATACAAAAAAGGTTGCGCGTGTATGCGGATTTGAACCGCAGGCCTTATCAACAGGAATCGTGGAGATAACGAATAAGGCCACGCGATCGTTTATTAACGTATAGTGTGACTTCTTTATATGTCATGCACTGCGCATTATGAAAAAGTTGAAAGAACGAAAAGCTAAAAGGATGAAAAGTTGAAAGGATACAAAGTTGCAGAAGCTGACAGGATAAGAAGCTAATAAGATGAAAAGTAGAAAGGATAAAAAGTTAAAAAGACAAAAGCTGAAAGGATGAAAACATCTGGAACTGCATGTAAGGTGCTAGATAGTTTTTATTATTTCGAAAAGCATAGAAGCTAAAAGATAGCTACGTTCAGACAAATTTTCAAAATTTCGAAAATATTCCAAAACAGGATATTCTCCCACCCCTCGTGATGCTATATTTCAGCTAACTAATAAATATAGATTAAACTAATTAAAATAAAATAAAAATATATATCCTTGGGCGTCCAGGAGTCTGCTATTTCCTCCTTGACAGAAATACACATAACTCGACTCAATGTTTTATCCTGATTCCGAATATGATATTTTTATTGCTCAAAAGTTGAATACTGATCGAGAAAATTAAGAATTACAGGCAGAATTCCGAAAAAATGAATTTTTTCAGCAATAAAACAAAATTTAAAAATAAAAGCGAATCATACGTTTAAAGCTGGACTCAAGGTGGATGCAATGCCACTGATCCGACGGTTTCATCCTTTGACACAGAAAACTAGATAGATTTATAAAATGACTCACTCTTCTTTTCCAATGATTCATTCGAGCGTCCATAATGGACAGGCAGATGTTTATCTTCTAAATGAATTTAATATCATTTTTTAATTCACGTTTTAACGTTGAATAAGAAAAAAATAGTTTGAACGTTCAGACTAAAAATCCTAGTTGAAAAATCTAACTTTTTCGAATATCATCGTTTTTTCGAGTTTCTCGACACGAAAAAAATGTTTCGACAAATTAATAACTACATATTCTTGATCAGCTGGAAAAGCTCTATCGAATAATGTATAATAAAATCGAAAAAACATTTTACTGCAAGTTTGCATTGTACGCACCTTACATAGTCAAAATTTCATTTATTCATTTATTTTATCTTGTAGGATGTATGATCGTGTAACAACATTAAAAATGGATGTTAATATTATAAATAATTGTAATTATTATTTTCGTAATGTTAAAGAACTCATTTTAACGGGTGTGGGTGAAATTGATACACAACAATTATTTTCAACGTTTGATAAACTTTTTGATGATTTATTTAAAAAATTAAAATCATTAGAATTTAGAATTAATAAGAAAATATTTTTATTTACCAATGAATTTATCATTGAACTTATTGAACGAATACCAAATTTATCGTCATTAACGTTTCCTGATCAAAATATTTCAAAACTATTTGATAAAATAAAAATAAAACCCAATTATCATGTTGAATATATACATGTTAAAAATTGTTTAACACCAAAAACAGCAGAGAAAATTGTATGTTCATTACCGAATTTACAACGATTAAAATGTAAAATACGTAGTATAAATGATCTAGAAAAAGTTGTAGATGTATTATTAACCAAAAAAATGAAATTTCTCACATATTTAAATATGAATGTACAATGTTCACTAAATAATGGTATACTTTATGAATTGTTTAGACAATATTATAGAAATGGTGCACGCTGGACACTTGAGGGACATGATTTACAACTTTGGATTTAAATAACACTATGACTATCTCAAGCCCTCTGCTAAATGAGAGAATGTATTAAAAAAAAAAGCGTACGTTTCTTCTTAATTATTTTTTTCTTCAGATGTTAAAGCTTTTTTTGTCAAAACTAGTATGTTTCATTTTTCATTTTATTTGCATTCACTTGACGTTGTTGTCTACACAATGTGTCATCTGTAATGGAAAATGTTATTGTGACACTACGTCAAAATGTTTGCACACTACTCAGATAATCCTATTTACTATCAATACAATGCCATTTATCTAATTTGCAAAGAAACATCTCATTTTAGATTATCGTGCCAATTATCAGTAATTCTTATAAACTTTCAAATCGTTCAGACCTTTAAGTCAGAAAAAAACAGATTACGAACCCGTAGGTGGATGAATCGATTTAAAGTTGCTTTTACATATAAACCAAAGAGCAGCTCCATAGCATTCTGGGGTAGTAGAGACGAGATAGTGTTCTCGTCTAACACGCCTATTTTATCAATAGTTGACGATGGACGAGGCGATGACGGGGCAGAAAGCTTACGAGTCGACCCGCGCGAAGAAGATTTCTCGAAACTTTACGAGCTAGTAAGTCTGTGAGGCGACCCTCGCGATGGAGCTTAAGATAGTCCATCGCCCACTTCTGATCTATACTTGTGTATCATTTGATGCATTTATAGTCTGAAACATTATTACCGATTGAATGCATCAGTATGTTGCTACTAGAACACCACATTGTTCTAAATATACGTAAGAGATTCAAACGGTGTGTATCGTGTTTCTAAGACACGTTTCACTCGACCGGCTTTCTAATTGCCCGCTGGGCAGTTAGTTCTTTTTAGTATTTCTATCTTTTCGCTGAAGAAAAATTCAACCAATGTCTATATACTCGATTAGGTTTATGCATTCTGTTTTCTATCTGGTATGTATATGGTATCGGAAAACAATCGCCATCGATGTAAAACTCAGCATTTTCCGAGCCTGTGTGTTGCGGGTTCTGTCATATGGCAGTGAAGTATGGAATCTGACAGTCACTCCGGAGAATAGAATCAAGGGGAACCAAGGGCGTAGAATCCCATAAAACTGTACGCTCTTTCATTCTAGATACCTTTCGAGATGATCTGAAATGGAGCCGATCCTCGTTCTTATTGCACCCCGTCCTTTCGCCTCACCCTGAAATACTAAAAAATTATTTCCTTCGAATCTTCTCGAAAGCTACATCATTCGATGTAAACTTTGATACTGATTCCGAATATCAGGTCAGAAACTTAATTGTTTTGAGTATTGATCGAAAAAATAGGATTTACTGAAGGATGGCCTTAGAGAGCTAATGCAATAATTATTGCCTTGGACTCTTCGTGTGCCATATTTTAGTCTTCAAAATACATTGTTTATAGCCACGCGGACATCTGCTTTCCGAATCGGACTGAAAGAATGTGTAAAACTGTCTTATTTAATTCGAAAAATGAGTTTCAAGTAAAAAATCACAGAAAAAAGTGTTTTCTATCGCACACAACAGCCAATACGTGTTACAATACGAAAATCATGCGGTATACACAGTTCTGAATGCTCTATCAAATGAGCTTAGTTTGAGCCGGAAAAAAAATACGTTTTTTTTAAACTGAATTTGGTTCAGTATACCATGGAAATGCGCTCGTATTTTGCCCTTTTCTCCATTAGATTTTATCTTTTTGGCAAAACTAATGGCATGTTTGAAATCAGCATCAAAAACTGATCCGAATGATATGCATTAAAGAATTTTTCGACAAGTTTCATTTTTGTGTGGAAATTTCAGGGTTTTGTTTTTGGAAAAACTCGAAAAAATTCAGAGCCGTCCAAAAATTCTGAAATGCATATCATACGGAAAGGGCAAAATACGAGCGCATTTCGCGCTCGTACAGTGAGTTCGCTGGAAAGCTTCCAAGTGCAAGCACGTTCTCTTCGCACATTGACCACATGATTATGCAAAGTAGTGACAGTACAGTTCATTCTAACATTTTAAATATGATCCATCCATTTAAATATCTCCCGCTACTCAATCACTGGGTGGAAACGGTTCGACGCATTGTTCATGCGTCTGTTTACATAGTTCTGTATATTCTGTGTAATGTCATTATGCTGAATTCTTCACCGCTTCGGTTGATTTTTTTCAAGTGGGAGCTGCCGTTGTATTGTTCGATTTCTCTTCCCGCAGCTTGAGTCGAATTTCAGTAACCGCAGGTTTATCTCTTTAAGGGCTTTTATCTGTTTTGCTGCAACACATGGAAAGAGTTTGACAATAGAATGTAAAACAAGGCATGCTGTATCTAGCTACCCGATCAATGATGAGCTGCAAAAATAGGTAGCAGAAAAATAAATTTAATCTGCTCGATGCAGGTTGAAATTGTGTTCTGGCCAAAATGGCGTGCTGAATCGATCGATTAAATTTCCAAAGCTGAAGCCAATTTCGAAGTGGATCATTGTATCTTCAATCTAGATCGCCCGCTTCACAAAATTTTGTGTGGCTAAGTAGAATCTTTCATCTATTTAATCAGATGGTACACGATCGCCGATGTATCATAATTTATCGGTGATGATGGTTCATATCACGTGACTGATCGATTTTCATGAACACCGCAAATGGTTGTTCGTAATATAACAAGTTTCTGTAGACTATTCGTTCTTGTTGTATGTCTCGTTGTGCCGTTATCTTGTCGTTGTTGTGGAAAATGCTGTTGTATCAAAGGCATTCGACAGAAATGGTTCTTTAAAATTTTAAGCACTTTGATAAATTCATGTCGATATAAACGTGTTGTTGCAATATAAATAAAAAAGCTTGTCGCATAGTTCAAATACATTACGAGCATAAGAGTATTAAATATGAATGAAAATATACTGTTAATATAGAGCTCGTAATATATTGTAGACATTAAATAGGCAATGGAGAATGGTGTGACCAATAAAATATTAACTAGTACATGAAAAAATAACATCTTTAATAGTTGGCTTTCACGTTGTCTCATACGTGCTCCACCTACAGCATTTACCGGCATAATTCGTTGACGTTGTTGTTTAATATTTCGAAAAGCGAGTACACTGAAAATACTCATTATTGCTGGTGGTAGAAGACAAAATGAAAACATTAGCATTATAGTCAATTCTTCGGCATATATACTATCTTTTGGTCCACAGGCACCATTATGAATTTCAAAATTGAACAGCACGTGCAAATATATCAGGAAGGTGAATGTAGTTGTGAGAAGTATCAAACGACCCGCTATAGATAATTTACTTAGATTACGCAATCTCGAATTTGATGATGATGAACAGTAACGATCGGCACATGCAAGCACTGTGAAATAAGGTGACAGAGTATACAATACATAAATCAAGTACGATCGGATTTTACAATAGGCTGATGAGTAGGTTGTGGGATCGTCGTTTATGGCGTCGGTTATTATCATATTTAAGAATAGAGTATATTGAACAAAACTATTATTGATAGTTGCAGCAAGGAAATACATTGAACACGGTGATGTTCGTAAGGTTTTTCTCGTAAATATGACGACATTCGAGACACTGCTGGTAGTGCCCAAAGCAAGAAGTATCGGCATCCAATAACGTCTAAGTTGAACGTAAACGTACGTTAATGAACCAATGGTAGGCGCTGTTGAATTCATGCTTCCCTAAGCAAGAAGAATACTATCGTAGGAGCTAAGTGGCAACAGAAATATTCTTTTCTTTAACTGAAAAACAGAATCTTTTAGTTACTATCCGTTACTTTAAGACTTTTTTTGTTCCTGGAAAATACGAACATAAAATCACTAACTATTCCTGCAAATGTTGATGACACTTTTTTTCTTTTTAATAGATCTGCCTTTCACATATATTTGTAAATGGATTTTATTTCTTAATTTCGAATGTATTAGAGTGACGACTGGATCCTGTTAGATACCTATGAGGTATTAAGTTCTTTAATCGAGAAGCATTTCAATCGCATATTGTCAGATATGTGTCAAAAAGTTTGCTCTCATTCATTATGTGAAGATTATTCTTCGAGCGTTCTTGAAGTGGTGACAAAGCACGATAGTTTCCGCAATTCATCAAATTCGAACTTTTATTATTCCATTCGAGCAGCAGGCCACGGTTTTTCTTTTATCACAATGTTTTTGACATAAATGAAATTGCCATAAAACTCTTAGTAAGATCTGACATATGAATAAGATTTGATGAGTGCACTTTCACTCACCCTGTTGTTTTGCACTCGAGCAGTTATCTAAATAACACCCCAAATATGACTGAAATATATATATTGCTATTATTTTAATATTCGCTCTATAGAAGGTATTCAACTACTGCTCAGAGAATGGACCAAGAATGGACGCCCGTTACTGGAAGATTTCTCTTCACAGAAAAAGAATAAAATAAACTGCTTAGTGAATGAATGTTATCAAAAATCGTGATAACTCATAGTGACATCCTCATCCAATTTCAAAAGAAACTTGCACATAGTAACCTATATCTGGTTAGGATCTTGACAAAAGCTTGATGATCCACTCAGAAGCTCAAGAGCAGCCAAAACGAACAGCAGATTAGTGATCAGCATCGAAAACTACACTAGAAAAATAAGATTTAATTAGAAAAGCTTTTAATCTCTGGGAAGATTTGTCCAAGAACCTGGATAAAGGTCAGTGAAATCTTAGGAAGTTGATTCCGCTGCAATCTTGAAAAGATTCGAGTAAGTCGCTGACTTAAGAATCTTGGTCAACTGAAGCACGTAATATACACGACTATAAAGTAATGCAAATAATTTCATGTACCACAACAGATCATGCAATCTTTAAATAAAAATGTCAGATTATTTCTTAAGGAAAAGGTCTGCCATTGAGATTTCAGCTCATTGTGTCCGTTATCTATATATTTGTGCGATACTGAATATGTCAGAAACAGTGGTGGATGTTCAGAACAGATTGGTAATTTCATTTGTATCAAAAATACTGTTGTGACAGGAAAGATGTGGGATTTGTTGTAATGAAATAAGAGAGGATGAGAGTGAGTAAGATCGATTCCCGGCGCCCAACAAAGTTACACACTTTTAGTTTGTTGAGATTTTCATCTTCATCGCATTTGCTGGATGTTCTAGAAATACTTCAGAATGTCAGAATGGACTATATTGTCGCTGCTTCGCATAATCATCTGGTCAAAGGATGATAGGAAATTTCATCTGATAATGAACGAATTTATTCTGACTTAAAGTTAATCATCCGCTTCCCGAGAATTTATTGTTGTCAGCTTTTTTACATCTAATTAAGATCTTAAAATTTAAGATCCTACACAATCGTAGTAAGATAATTTTAAGAAGTAAGGTGTCTAAAATTCAAAATGTACGCACTGTTTTTCTACTTTGCTTCTTCCCTGAGAAATTTCACTTCTATTAAACGTACAAATCGGGGTGATATCTGCCCATTTTCTCCGTCGAAATGTATTTGAATATAACTTCACAAGACTTTTACACAACTGATACTTTTTTTCATTGAAGTGTGTGTTAGACGACAGAGAAATTCTAATTAAGTAGATCTTAAAAGAACGATCTTCTATAAAGTTTTTTCAAGCGGATTAAGTGAATATTTCAATTTATTTTCATGACTTAACAGAAAACATATTTTTCTTTAATTTAGTAAAGTCCGTCAAACGGATTATTAATATAATTAAATACCATGGTTCCTCTTTGTGTTCAGAGCTTTAGGTCAAAAAAAAACAGATTACAAAGCCGTAGGTGAATGAATCGATTTAAAGTTGCTTTTACATAAACAAAACATAATTTTTAAAAAAAACGAGCGTATGCTTCTTAGAAAATATATGAAATACTGCATTTGGCATTCCTCTATCATTCACTATATGTTAGCAACGTCTTCAACTAGTCACTTGATGTTAATTAGATTTTCACTTTTACAATTGTTGTTTTTTTAAGATCGGTTATAAATCGATGGCATATAATCGGGATTCAGTCACCTATATGTTTTGAAAATTCGTTTTAACGAGGTTTTAGCATTCATAGAGAGCGAGAATATACAGTTTCACCATGTATACGGCGAATTTCTTGAGCTTTAAATATACGCCTTAATCAAAACCGCGTTTTTGCCATGAATAATTCGCGAGAAACACGTTTATGACCATCATAGTATGAGAACTTCGAAACTTGGTGCATTAGTAGAACTAGGATTCCAGAGATTCTTTTAAACTTTCACGCAGAGCACAACTGGTCTTCAGATTCCTAATCAACAGCATTGGAAACCTATATAAGCATAAATTATGATCCCATTTACAAAAAACAGTTTGCAGTTGGTACAATTCTCTCGTGAAAAAAGGAGGAAAATGTGGACGACTTCTATGATTGTAGTTATTTGATATGTAAGGAACACTTGGCGAAAGTTTTCCGATGATTTAGAGCTATTATAAATGTAAAAGAAAAAAATCTTTTTTTCGCACTAGTTTTTTGATATCGGTTATGTGCAAGGACAGGGAGAAAAGTCAGTTTCGGATAAATTTTTATACTTTTAAAAATTGGAGTAAAACTAAAAGAAAAAGATAAATATTCTAAGCAGTTTTCTTCTAAAGCAAGACTGAATTTTCTTCTATCTAACTCTATTTACTTCAACACAAAGCCATGATGCAGTCTGTTCTACATATCTTATCTTATTTATGAGCCATTTCACATAAGCGGTGACTACGTTACATAGAACACTGCTCAATCGTGTCTCACAGAACTCGTTCGAACCAGTCATAAAAGAAAATATAGACATTTCTGACCCAGATAAAAACTGCATCGAAAGTAGCGACTTTGGCTGAAAATGTCAGTTTTCAAAATCGATTTTCTCTCATGGCATAAGACGAATATTGGAAATATTTGGTGCATAAGTAGTTCCAACTTTGATCTATCAATAGATGAAAAAATTTCGGTGGATAACGTTAAGCTCACTGAAAGCCCCTAGTGCCCCTGACAGTAGGTATCACGTAGACATCATTAAATTTTTAGAACAGTATTTTGCATCTGTTGGGTTGAAGAAAGTGTTTTAAAGCGAAACCAAGCCCATATTCAGTCAGCTGTTTCAGCAATTTGTACTGCAAAAAAACACTTGTATTAAAAAATAACTTTCGCTATAGACTGCTATCCGTTCCAAATACAAAGGGCCGGTGGTTATTTTTTGAATAACTCAAAAGGAATAAAAGATAGGGACTTGCGGTTTTCATCATTCACTAGCCAAGGCCTGAAGCTATGTTTTCATAACCAAAAACGAATTTGAAAAGAATTTCAAAGACCGGTTTTTCAGGAGATCTGTGGAAAACCAGTTCAGTTCTCTGAAAGCTAGCATAAAAATCTATGAATTGTTTTACGTGGATATATAGTCCGAAGTATCCTCTACAAAACTAGATCTAAGCGACATCTTAGAAATCCATGGTTCGGGAGCTATGGATATTTTTCCTGAAGCCTTGGCACTCCTGTGCCGTTAGGTTTGGGACTGTCAGAAACGAATGAAAACATAGGTTATCGACTATGCTGAATCTCGTGGCAAATAGAAGGAAATTCAGTCCTGCTTTGGAAGAAAACTGCTTAGAATATTTATCTTTTTCTTTTAGTTTTACTCCAATTTGCAGTGTCGGTCGTGGGTTATGTGAAACGGCTCTTATGTACATAATAGGAATTTTATTTTCTATCAAACACAGAAAGAGAAAAAAACAGAAGAATTTACTCTAAAAATGGAAGTCTATATCTTACTCCGAAAATAGAGGTGAATATCTTACTTTTGAAAAGAAAGTAAATTCCTAACCACGAAACTGAGAGTAAGCCTCTTACTCTCAAAATGGGAATAAATATCTTACTCCAAAATTGAGAATAAACGCCTTATTCTGGAAATGGGAATAAGCGCTTTACTTCGAAACTGAGAGAAAGCCTTTTATATTCTAAAAATGAGAGTAATTGTCTTACTCTGCAAATACGAGTAAACGCTTTACTCCGTGGGACATTCTCATAAGTCAAAGACCTTATTTTCGGAGTAAGAAAATCCTGATTTTGGAGTAAATTTTTTTGGAGTAAATTTTTTTCAAAAAGCAGGAGGAGATCCCTCCCGTCTTCTCCTTATCGAGGCGCCCCTGCTTATGTATGATATGCCCAACTGCGTAATAGAATTTAATTTAATTTCTGCGCTGACAGTTCAGTACATCAGCTACGTGCTTCGTCTCGTTCATCCCGATCCAAGAACCTTTTCTCCTAGAATATTTTATATCCAGGTTCTTGGGTTCTTGCATGTTGAAAACGAATCTAAACTTTTAAGGTCATACTAACGTTTTAGGTTCGTATTACGTTTTTAGGTTCGTACGCACATTTAGATGCAAGAACGTTTTCTCCTAAAATGTTTTACATCTAGGTTCTTAAGTTCTTGAGTTGTCGGAACCAAAGTGATGACGGGTAAGAATTAAGATAAATACTCTCGGCTTTTGAGTATAAACTAAAAATCTTTCTCTTTTGTATGACATGAAGAATTTCACATAAAGCAAAAAGAAATAGTTTAAGTGTAGATCTTGTACATTAGATTTTGTACAAAGATTTTTTAACTATAACTTTTCTCTCATATATTACAATCATTTATTTCTGATTTTTCGCAGACAAAATATCGAAAAATCAAGAATCTCGTAATTTAACTACAGGGATCGGCGGCAACAGTTTGCTTCTAATTTCTGAAATCTATAGATGTATAGACCGCACACTAGAGTGTATTATGATATGGATTTTCTCTTGTGTGTAATAAATTTTGCAAATCATATCCAGATATATTATTAGTCGTTAGCTGAAAACAGTGTATTCAATGCTCGATACTTGTGTAAAATCAACTTGTTCGCTTTACAATCTATTAGGCGCGATATCTCATAGGCTCAAGTCTCAAAAAGTTGCTGCATAATGTGGCTGAGATACAAGGGTTTCGATTTTCCAGGATTTTGACTGAATATGAAGCAGAAATACGCGTCTAACTTTTGAAGAAAATATTCGCAGGGTTGACAACTGTTAAAGTTTTTACCAGGTCAACGTCGCGTCGTTCAATAATCCATACATGACCCGATGAAATCATATCGTATCATCTAAGGCGTTCACTTTGACGGATCAAAAATCTCTGCATGATAACATACATTTTTTCTTTTTTTTGGATAACATTAAACGTTCTAAAGCTAGGTTCATTTTATTTTTCGAAATCATCAGCGGAATCATCTTTCCCTTGATAAAATTGTCATGCTTATAGAAAAAATTAAAGACCTATTTAAATACCAAAAAGAAAACGTAATACCCCATGAATTTTTTATTTATTTATTTAATCCACAAAGTTGTGAGAATATGTTTCGTAATGCAAAACTATATATGATAGTTAAAAAACACATTATTTTACAAGTGTGTCTTTATTCGATAAATATTCGACCAATACTTGACAAATATTTCATTTTTTTCCTATAGTGATACATAAAAATGATTATAATTTCTTCTACAGACAGAGATTAGGCACACTTTGTATATAGAAAGATGCAGAATTGAAAGGGTTACAGAATGGTATGACGTATTCTTTCAAACTCTACTTTCGTTAGACGTATGGGTAAGAAAACGAAAAACATATTTTTCGTGTTTTCCGAGTAATTTTGCTGACATGGAGCTTTTCTTAAATTGAATACTGTTTGATGAAACAGTGCTGTAGAAAGTTCAGAGGTGTCTTGATTTGCTCAGAAATCTTTTCTTTTAGAACAATTTCAGGTGTTCTTCTCCTGGATTCGACCTTTCATAAGCTGTACTTCCCCAACTTTCCCAATTGTGATAATGACAGCATTATCACAATTACTTGGACGTAATCATATTTATTCAACAACAGATCACCCACAGACAAATGGTATGGTTGAGAGACTCAATGCAACATTCGTTCCGCAATTAGCCAAACTTCAAGATCAAGAATCAAACAATTGGGACGAATTCCTCCCTGCTGTTGTATTTGCATATAACACCGGTCAAATCATTATTTTAACACGGCGCACGAACTTTTTCCTCAACCTAATACCATCTACACAACATCAGCAACAGCGACAATCACTTACAGAAGAACAACGGATACAACGCAATCGACTTAATAGTCGACGACGTCGCGACGGACATTTTAGACGGTCGGTAGTCCGTCCCATTTATCATAAATTTACAGTACAACAGGTCAAGGATTTTTTGAGATCCATCGGATTATCGTTGAGCAGTTTTTTATATTTAGTTATTATATTTTGAAATACATATGACTCAGCATTGTGATTGTTTGCATATCAATATCATCGTTACCATTTGTTTTTAAATCTAGATTCAAATTCTTATCTTCGATTTCTATAAAAGGTTTCGAGCAACGAAACAGATTTCCAGAGATCTGCTCAAGAACCAGTTTTTAGAGTTTTTTCAGAAAACCCTGTTGCTTGTGAAAATATGCTTTATTGCCCGCTGCCTCGGTACGACATTTTACATTGATGTTTAGCGCGAGTTTTGGGATCGATTTCATTCGAAAGAACATTTAATTCTGAACAAGAATATCATCTTTAAGTGTTTATCATCAGCAGAAGGTGGACAAAGAAGTCGTGAGATTTCTAAGGATTTTGGGCCTTACGAGGGAACGTTTTTTAGGGCTTCAAAGATCCGGTTTTCTGGGAAACCAGTTTTTCAGAAAGTCTGAAAAATAACCAAAGCTTTTTTTAATGAGTCATGCTTGTAACCCACCCATTTCTGATTAAAATGAGACCTCTCCCAACTCTACATGACCTCTCTTTGCAAATTTATAGACTTTACAAGAAAAGCCCTAAATATTCATTGTCAACTCAAAGCTACAGAAATAAGAAGAAATTAATTTAGGACTCTTCTTGTAAAGTCTATAAATTTGCAAAGAAATGTCACGTAGAGTTGAGAGAGCTCTCATTTTAATCGAAAATGGGTGGACTACAAGCATGACTCGTTAAGAAAAGCGTTGGTTGTTTTTCCACAAAACTGACTCAATGAAGCCCTAAGAGCAGCTCTCATATCTATATTCGGAATCAGCATCACCGATAACCTACAACCCACTAGGTTTCGTTGAAAAAGCGATGGGGCACTTAAAAACGTTCCCTCGTTAGAGAAATCCTAAAAATAAGTTTTCTGAGAAACCACTGTAACGGCGTATCTGAAACTTCAAGGATATTTTCTATGACCGACTCTAAACAAAACGCAGCCACTACAGAAGAAACGTGCAAAAATGGTTTATTAGCTTGTATATTTTGTTGATAGCAATATCTCTCCCACTGATATACGCAGATACAATGATTTTACATCAAAACGTACCATAATCTTGTTTATATCAACGTTTTCTGTTTCAATATTTTCACCGATACAAACGTTGTTCAGTGCAGGTTTTAGTCTGATTGTCAATACACAATAATAATAAGTTCCATTTGAACGCCAAAAAGGTCAAGACTTGATGTGCAGAATACTACACGATACTATTTTTTTCTTCCTTTAGACGAAAAACTCAACACCACAGTATTTGTTTTTATTTTCGTCAAGGTTAAATTTCTAGTCGTTATATATCGATCCTTATGGCTTTAATAGGCAGGAAGTTAACTACTTTTCTACAGGTGTAATAACGGAAAGTTTACCTTGATAAAAACGGTAAGATTTTATCTGCAGAAGAAATGTGAGAGTTTAATGGTGTCACAATTAGAAAGGGAAATATCTAACACTTTTATGTTAAAGAGTGGTTACTCTAAAACATATCGTGGAACAGGTCATTTCTGATGAATACCGCGATGATGATTCGCCTATTATAGCAGCCGAAGGTTTCAGGTCTATTAGTATCAGGCATACAGAATATCTATTAACATCAAGGGTCGCGATATAAGTGTAAATGCGAGTGAAACAACAGTTGTCTTCATTTAATTTTTATTAGGTAATGATAAGGTATGAGCTATTTCACAATATGTTTTAGAGTAACCACTCTTTAACATAAAAATGTTAGATATTTCCCTTTCTAACTGTGACACCATTAAACTCTCACATTTCTTCTGTAGATAAAATCTTACCATTTTTATCAAGGTAAACTTTCCGTCATTACTCCTGCAGAAAAGTAGTTAACTTCTTGCCTATTAAAGCCATATCGATAACGATCGATATATAACGACTAGGAATTTAACCTTGACGAAAATAAAAACAAATACTGTGGTGTTGGGTTTTTCGTCTAAAGGAAGAAAAAAGTAGATATAATCTAGTTTTTAACAGCTTTAGCTACAATGACGGAAAATCAAGCGTTTGCGAGACATGCAAAAAACACACTTCATGCTTGCCGTGAAATAAAAATTATTCTCATGGTTTATATTGCAACTTATTCGAAAGGAAAAAAGCCCCGTTTATCAGTTCGACCACCACTACAAAATATGTAAGTTGTGTCAAGAGAGAATACACTGGCATTCATCGAATTAACCAGCATGGGTCATATGAGTTTTGCTGTTCTCTTAAAGAATATTTTATTAGTGACAAAAAAATAGCTTCAAAAGGTCATTTTTATTTATTCAAGATTGCGACATGCCATCAGTTTTATTCGACAGCACCTTTGTGCTTACTCCTGTTATGCAGCAAGTGGGGTTACTGTTGTACCGATTTTTGTTGCTTTGTCATTAATTCCAGCTTATACACCACCCTATGGACAAGATTTGCCAATTGCATCCAGAAGTACGTCGCATAATGCCCTTAAAAACTCGTAGGCGATTGAATGTTTGTTTTCCCTTTTCAGGTTTACCGTCTTGCATTCTATTTAGTCGTACGGATTTTAATAATTATTATAACGCTAGTTTATATGCGAACAATGATTATAATCATGATTATTTAGGAGAACAGGTAATCGAAGACCAGCCCATAGTCTTTCCTGAAGCTTTTAAATTGCTTTACAAAATGAGAGTGCAGCAGAATGTGCTCGAAAATTGTGAACTATTCCCACATCCATCTTCATTCTCAATTTCACGGTAGAGATCTGAGTTAGATAGATGACGAAGAAAAAGAATGAGAGGACAGCTTGAAAAAAGAAAAGTTTAGATTTGCTGTCTAGAATAACTTTTGAAGAGAATCTGTCCATTTGTTAAACGGGTTACACACTTCGGCGATGTTCGCACTCATTTCAACACAGCCAGAGTGCTTCTCATGATTCATTTCTCTCAAAAGTGACGAAACTTTTACATGAATTCGTAAATGACTGCTACGTAACACATATTAAGATCTTTACAGAATTCACTATTGTATTTATTATCTCTAGCTCCCGAGCAGTGCTCCGCTCATCATCACGAAAATAACAATATGAGTACAGAAAAATTGAATTGAATTGCGAGAAGGAGAAGCTCCGTTTCATATTAGATATGAGTTGTATATATATATATATATATAATAGTAGAGTTTCTGTAGTCATATTGTTATTTTCCTGATGATGAGAAGAGTACTGCTCGGAAGTTCAAAATAAGAAATACAATAGTGAATTCCGTAAGGTTCTTAAAATATTTTACGTAGTAGTCATTTATGAGCTCGTTTGTCGATTATTTTATCTTACTCTTCTTCCATCGTTTTCGTAGAAATCTTATTGCTTTCCATGTTTCAATCTGAAAATTCTCAGATTATCGTTAATGTATGTATTGTTATGACAATTTTTCTCGTTTTCCTCTTTGACATCTAACTCAGACTTCTGCCACGAACTCTATTTAATCTCTTAAGTGGTCGGATTCTTTCACGAACTGTAAATTTAAAACCGTGCAAAACTGCCGTAAGACACCTTTGAGTTCGCTGTTACAAACACAAAGTACATATCATATGTATATAGCTGACCTTCGTAGTTTAGAGTTTTACATTTAGTTCTAGAACCGATAAACTTCTTCATAGATAGCGAACCGATCAGGTGTCAGGCGCAGTCAGATACACGTAACAAATATAACAACGTCATTAATAGGTTTTCTCGGTAATTATCAAATCAGTGCACATAATACAGATGTCTCCATGTTTATTTCTTATTTTAAAAAGCTATTACCTTAGAAACGTCTGTTGCTGATTGTTTTGCTGTTAAATGTCGAGAAGCGAAATTAAATGCAATACAACGGAATGTTACTAGCGTCTTGCCATATATATTTCAACTTACATATACTGATTCAAATGGAACATTAATCGATGACAGACTACCGACGTTATATGCCTCGAATGCAACAAGTAAAAAGAAAAAAAAGACCTTCAGTTATTCCCATAGTCTTGGGTGTTTTTTGTAGGTGGATCATGTTCTGAATTAACAATTTCAGGTATGTATGAATCTGAAATTTTGCTTTGGTAGCAAAAATTCAGTTATGGATGTAGAAACAAATACGCCGTCTTCATGACATCCGTGAATGCGACGTGTGATGATTTCAATCGCTTTTATCTTGATAATAATGATGTAAATGACGCTTTTCGTTGCCCTGCATAGCTTGTGATGCGTTTGTCTACTACTAAAATAGTTTACGTCAGTAGAAAACAACTTAAAATATTACACTCTGGAAAAACGAGGGTACCACCAGCTAAAAAGATCACTTTGATGGACGATGAATAGGGAACTTTAAGTGCTCCGCTCTGAGGCACTTCAAGCAGAAGGCATCAAGAAAAGTGCCTTATTATGGACTACATCAAATGCCTCATTCATCGCTCGACGGACACTTGTTTTTTCGTAGTGTACCAAAGCGAATTTGATATTCAGTTTTTATAATGCTGTTCAACTGATGATACTGGACTCAAACATCTGATTATAGACAGTACTCGAGGTCTTTTCTGCAATTAGCTGACATATATTAAAATTTCATTGTAGATGCTTGTGTATCAGCGCCGTGTCTTAATAATGGCACTTGTCGTCTAAATGATGAATCATCTTATTTCTGTTTCTGTTTATCTAATTATTCGGGCGTTAGTTGTGAAATCTCAAGCCCAGGTGAGTCAGTCTCGTTAAAAAAGATACTGAAGCCGTTTTTTGTATGTTTTTCTGGCTAGGGCGAGATACAACTGCATTAGATCTTATACTTAATGGCACGGTGACAGATTATGATAGAACAGCTTATATCGTTATACAACGTAATACAAACTGGACGAATATGCTTGATGTTGTGGATGTCACTGGAAGTATGGATCCTTACGATGCATCAGTTTATCTTTGGTTAAGACTAACACAATTGACAAGTCGAACACAATACTATGTTTTCTTTAATGATGGTAACGATAAAAGTGACTCAGAAAAAGTTATTGGCTCAACGGGCGGACTATATGGTGTCCAGGCAAGAGATCCTATCGCTGTTTTACAAACAATGAAAACAGCAATAAGAAATGGAAATGGAGGTGATGCATCTGAAAATGATATTGAAGCGATTATTCGCGGTCAACGCGACTGTTCGACGTGCACGACGCTTGTCCATGTCGCTGATAATAAGGCAACACCGAGAGATTTAATACTTTTATCTCAAGTAACTCTGCCCGTGAAAGTGATCGCTTGTGGTGCAACTGACAGAACCGACATTAATCCAGCATTGATTTATATTGCCGAGACAACTCACGGTTCGATACATACGATAACGGAAGATATTACATCACTAGCTGGAGCGTTTTCGCTTGACCAAATAGTTGTTGTTGGTTCAACGACTTATATTCTTCGAGCAGATGGTTTTCATAGACTCTAATACTGCATAATATATTTATCGACTTCTGATGCTTTTTGTTTTCTTTCTCATTGTACGCACAACTTTTCTTTTCACTCATCTTCTATTTAGACGAGCTAATATCTCACTTCAATCACGAATACATTACTTTACTTTATTCTGAATTTGTTGAAATTTATATTTGAAAAATCAGAAAATAACACTCACGTCATCTGTTCATATAAACGTACGATCAATATGGTTAGAATGGGATGAGGGATAACTTCTCGAACTCAATTCCTAGTCATATGGGTCTACTGCAAATTAAAACTAATCCGTTCACTCTATCATCGCGAGTAGAAGGAGATGACGTCTCAAAAATTATTTGGCTACCATGCTTTAACATGATTGACATTCCCTGAAAGTTTGGTCCAAATCGGAGTTATAGTTATTGAGATAGGTTTTTGACCGTCGGAGGCCTTAAAGTATTTGGTAATCTACGTTTTCGGCTTCTTTTATTCTTCTCTCTGAAACCTTTTTGTTGTCTTTTATTTGATAGATACATAGAGAAGTGCCTAAGAATGCAATGAGAGGTAAATAGAAGTCTCAAACTTGATCAGCTGCTACAAAAATGATAACACTGACGAGAAAATTTTCCTCAAACATTGCATATGCAAGCAGTTGCAAAAGAATGTGTTCTCCTTGCGGCATACCAGAGTGAAAGAAATATTTGTTTCTCCCATTGCCACGGACGGTCAAAGACAGAGAACCCATAAAGGTCCACGGGCATTGTCCGCGTAGATCTCTAGTGTCAAGCTGTACTATTTCAATCACAGGACGGCGGAATGGCTCTGGCAATGAACTAATATCAGCGCGATGTATTTACTGATACGCACTAGTTCAAACCCAAGTGTAATGTGTTTATTACATATGGAAAGACTTATCTTAGCTGTTATAAAGGACGGGGATCGATATGAGACAAAATAGGAGAGAGAGCCCCAAAAAAAACAACCTCGTGTTTTCATTTTCGTAGCAGCTGCTCAAACTTGAGACTCCCATTTACCTCTCATTGCATCTTATTCAAGAAAATTAAAATGGCTGGTTTCAGTGATGACACTTCAAATAACATTACATAGTATAGAGAAATTTTACATAGTGAAAAGCATATCCTGTTTGCTACTGCCCTTCAATCCGCTAACATTATTGACCATACTTGAGAAAGGATACTGTTTTCACACGATCTGTGAAATGATGATGTTATTTATGAATGGTTCCCTATGTGTACATACTTTAGACATAATTAAAATGAGACATCTCCTACCTCTACATGACCTTCTTTGCAAAGTTATCGATTTTACAAGAAAAGCCCTGAATTGTCTGCTCAAAGCTACAGAAATAAGAAATTAATTTAGGGCTTTTCTTATAAATTCTATAACTTTGCAAAGAAAGGTCATGTAGAGGTAGGAGATGTCTCATTTTAATCAGAAATTTGCGCGCTACAATCATACCTTATTAAGAAAAGGTTTTGGTTATTTTTTAGAGTTCTTGAAAAACTGATTTTTCAGAAAACCGGGTCTTCAAGAGCCATGGGCACCAACCCTTTTAGGCTTTTTACTACTTCGATATATACTATCGATTGGCATATGAGCGAAACAACTGAGTTAGACACCTCACAGGGTTTCCTCGTCAGCCTATCTCCACATCCTCCCCACGTGAATTCTTCACAATTGTTGGTATCTTTAATCGTAGAAACACTCCTTCACACACGCCCTTCTCGAGCTTGTACTCCGCATGTGAGAAAATGAAAAGAACATTTTTTCTTTATTCCTCTCTTTTTTCATCTCTTCAGTGAATCATTTTTCAAATAGAAGTGAAAATAAAACTGTTTTCCATAAAGTGGTTACTTTTAACAACAACAGAAACACTCGAATAGTAATTTCTTTATCCTTACCTTATTTTTGCACTTTTTCCAAAAATTCTTTCACGATTGCATAACTGAGAGTCTCAGTAATCGAATGAGAAAAAGAACTTTCAGTTTATCATTTGAAATGAAGGAAATCTTAGCTCCTTTTTACCTTAGGTTTATTTAGAATTAAACCCATTTAATATATAAAGCAGAATGTATTATACTACTAAGATCTTTCTCATTTCAAATGATAAATTGGAAATTCTTTGGTTTAAGCTTTAATCTTGAACCAGAACGAAATCGAGAATATAAATTCCCATTATATCATTCTGAAACTTAAACTATCAAAACACAAAATCAATCCTTGCACGAAGCCAGGATCGAACACACGAACTTGATCTTTGCAGACGAACTGCAAAATCAACTTCGCTGTTCTTTCCTATATTCTGCACAATGATTGAAGTTGTGCAATGACTCGATGTTATCCTTCAATGTATATTTTTTATTGTGTTTTTGTGTTTTGTTTGGAAATTCTTTAGTTTAGTTTAGTTTAAATTTTTTTTCTCATTCCATTACTGAGACTCTCAGCTTGAAATTACTCTGCTCGTTGAGTGTTTCTGTTTTTATTAAAAGTAATTAATCTGTAGTTTCAAACCTACTTCCTCGCCCTACTCAAACCCAATACTCATTAGCGGTATTCAGCCATGGCGAAGTTGGTATGGCTAGAATAAGACTTAGGCGAACACTTATTAAATAACTGGAAGTGAAAATCAGTTTGGCACTAGTAGATTAAGCTAAAAATATTGCAGAAAAGACAAATTAAAAAACTTTGATAATTAACTGTCATAACATAATTTCATTGCATTAGTTCAACTGGCCCCTTTTATTCTATAAACCTGTTTTTGACAGTACATTCCAACTAATTCGGGGAAAAAAAATTTACTGTCTCTACTTTGTTTGCTTTGAACTTTCGAGGAAGGTAGATGAAAATCTATTTTGACATGAAGAACAACGTGAACCGTTCCACTCTAAAAAGTCTCAGCGTATATAAGGTGCACGGAAAGCAAACTGACAGTGAAATTTATTTTTGGCTTTATTATACATATTCTGATTCACCAGCTCATGCTGATCACGAATATCACTTTCCGAGCTCGAAAAAATTGAATCTTGATGGAGAAAACCGCGAAATACTGAGATGAGGTCGAAAACGTTAAAATCCGTTCTTTTTCAGAAAAAGCTCCACAATTTTTTTCTCTTACGTTTTTATTTA